TAAAAGGTGGTCAAAGGAATTCGATGATCCCTATGTTACAAAGACTCTGTTCATTTCACTAGTCCGTCCAATCCTGGAGTACTGTTCTGCAGTTTGGAGTCCTCAGTATGGTGTACATATAGACCGGATAGAGTCTGTGCCAAAGAACTTTTTATTATTTGCTCTACGGGGCCTTAACTGGAATGCAAGCCTTATTTTACCATCCTACAATAGTAGACTTCTCCTAATTAATCTACCATCAGGTGGTCAAAGGAATTCGATGATCCCTATGTTACAAAGACTCTGTTTATTTCACTAGTCCGTCCAATCCTGGAGTACTGTTCTGCAGTTTGGAGTCCTCAGTATGGTGTACATATAGACCGGATAGAGTCTATGCAAAAGAACTTTTTATTATTTGCTCTACGGGGCCTGGAATGCAAGCCTTATTTTACCATCCTACTCTAGTAGACTTCTCCTAATTAATCTACCATCCTTAGTAAACCGTAGAACGATGCTTGGCACAACTTTTATCTATAAACTTATTCACGGGGATGTGAAGAGTCCCGAGTTACTGGGTCGCATAAGCTTCTCCGTGCCTAATAGAATTACCAGGAACTATGTTCCTCTTACATTAAATATTTGTAGATCTAACTTTGATATGCATGAACCGTTTAGAGTACTGTGTAACGACTATAATAGACTATACCACATTATTTTTACTACCGACTCTTTGCTAAGCCTAAAATCGTTAATTTTATCTTACTTAGCACAAAATTAGTATTAGTATTAGTCTCGTACGTATTTCTAATCTTAGTCTGTCCGCTTCTACATTGTGCTTTTAACTTCTCGCGATCTCGTTTTTACGTCTATTAGGCTCCGCGCGTAACAAGCACTGCTTGGTGTCATAAGGGCCACTTGTTTGCGCTGATCATAGTACATCAACGTCAAAAAACAAAAAAAAAACGAAGACAATATTCAACAAGCGGGCCCGGCCATACAGACCGACATGGATCGCTGCATCCAAAGAACGTTAGTAACATAATTAACAGGAACAAAAACCCGCAACCACTTTTAAAGGTAGAGCTGGAGCCAGACGGCAGAGTCTTGAAGAAAAATAAAGGGCACCCCATACCCTGCAATACCTATTGCACCGAAGAATTAAGGTGGAAGATCCTCATAAGAGGAACGGCCCGGTGCAATGTACAAACTGTCAGGAGTATAGACACACCAGGACATACTGCACACTTACATCAGTCTGTGTAGTTTGTAAAGACTTTCACAATTCCTCCAATTGCCCTGCCAACAAAGAAGACCAACAAAAGAAGAAATGTGGAAACTGTGGAGGATCAAACACAAACTACAGGGGCTGTGTGGTCGACAAGGAGCTGAAAAACCGCATGCGACGAGTGACAACAACGAGCCATCAAAACGTGTACACTTACTCAAAAACGACGCCGGAAGGATTTTTCGGGACGGCTGCAAGATCCTCATTTGGTCAGCTAAATACCCAGAAGGGATTCTCTTACGCCGATGCCCTTCGAACAGGAAAGGGAAACCCACTCCAGTCTTATCTAGGAAACGTTCAGCAGGTCCCAGGACAGTCTCAAAGTACACTGGAAGCTATGATGGTTACTATGAAACAAAGTATGATGGAATTTATGTCCTTCATAAAAAAGGACCATGCAAACACTGGTTCAAAACCAGGACATGGTGTTACAGTTGGTTGCAGCTAAGCAGTCCAAATAATTGATGCCAAATCTACGAATAACCATGTAAAAAGACAATGCCTTTTCCCGGAACAAACTTGAAATAACACAGTTCCTGAATAAAAATCATATTGACATTATGCTACTGATAGAGACGCACCTCACAAACAAATACAATTTCCAAATAAGAGGCTAACCCTTCTACCGCACAGATCATCCAAATGGTAAAACCCACGGCGGAACCGGCATACTAATCAGGGATACAACTAATTACTTGCAGACCACGTCTATCAAAGTGCAGTCAGATAGCGGACTCCTTTCCATAGCCGCTGTCTTCTGTCCGCCTCGCTTTACAATTTCTGAAGGACAATTCATGGATTTTTACAACTTACTTGGAGATCGCTTCACAGCAGCATGAGATTATAATGCCAAACATACCCACTGGGGATCACGACTCGACTAATTATAAACTGAGCAACCAATTGGACTATGGTTCTCCAGGTAGCCCCACATACTGGCCTGCAGACCCCAGAAAGGTCCCAGACTTAATAGATTTTGCGGTGACAAGAAACATTCCACGCAATATAATAAGCGCCAAAGCGCTTTCGGACCTTTCATCTGACCACTGGCCAGTGCTAATAACTCTTCTTCAAAGCCCAGAAACTACAGATCAAAATGGTTAGAACAAACTGGTTAAAATATAAAATGTATATAAGTTCCCACATCGAACTAACCCCGCAGCTCAACATCGAAGCGGACATCGAAAGATCCACTGATGCTCTTGAAGAAGTACTCGTGGCAGCAGCCACTATTTCAACACCACAATTGAAGGACGTACAAATCAACCATTTCAAAACTAATCTGCAATTGGAACAGCTTGTACTGGAAAAGAGGCGTCGTCGACGTGCTTGGCAAAAAAATAGATCGCCATCTTTAAAATCTGCAATGAGATCATACGTCTCGGCTAATATCCGAGCAAATAGAAAAAATCTACTATCATAATGATACCGAGGCCCGGTAAAAACCACACAATTCCTTCATCCTTCAGACCAATAAGTTTACTATCCTGTCTATGTAAATTGCAGCGCAATATTCCTTGACGCATCTCAAGCTTTCGATCGAGTCTGGCTCGATGGCCTCATACATAAAATCATAAGATCAACACACTTGCCTACATACACTCATAAACTACTGGAGTCGTATATGTACAACAGAGTCTTCGCAGTTAGGTGCAACACAACAACATCTGACGACTACATTATCGAAGCTGGTGTCCCGCAAGGAAGCGCACTTGGGCTTACTCTGTTCGTCCTATATAAAGCGGATATTTCTACAAACGAGCAGCTTCGCTGACGACACTGCAATCCTAAGTCGTTCGAGGAGCCCAAGCCAAGCAACAACACAACTAGCCAATCACCTCATCGTAGTTGAGAGGTGGCTTTCTGATTGGCGTACTAAAATAAATGAATAAAAATGTAAACACATAACGTTTACTCTCAACAGGCAAACATGCCCTCCATTATCAGTGAATAGTACGCCGATTCCATAGTCAACGAAGTATCTCGGCGTCCATCTAGACAGACGACTAACTTGGAGAAGACACATCGAATGCAAGAAACTACATCTAAAACTAAAAATCCTGAGGACTATCACTAGGGGGCACCGTGGTATATTCGCAACCAAAACATCCACAGAGACCTCGGCGTTCTTGCAGTACTCAGTACCAGTCATATGACTGATAGTTTGATTACTGTAAGATTTGATACACTTATTGATAGTATTCAAAAAGAGAAGATTCAATATATAAAAAAAGGCAATTAAAAAAAAAAAAGGTAAAATCAGTCACTTTTGTCCTTCCATATAAGTATTTTAATGCCCAAATTACTGCTGGTATTTATTTTCCGTTTTCTTGAGTAATTTTCCTAGGCTTTAGAAAGGATCGGAAATTTAATGATATTGGTTTATAATTTGAAGCAAAAACTGCCCCTAATGTGTAATTAAAAGCGTCTGTAGTAAGATGGAATTCTGTCTGGGAATAAGGATATTGTAAAATTACTTCAATAGAAACAAGAGATTTGCATGGGTTCTGTGAGTCATTTCAAAAATAGGTCTGGGGCATTTTTGTATTGGCGTGGTTCGCCCTATAATTTTCATTTTCTGATTTAAGACACAAATGCAGTGCAGATGTAAGGTCTGGTTCCCTCATTCCGAGTAGCTGAGGTAGATCTCCTAGCAACCCTAATGTCTAATATATGGTATTGTGATTCTCTGCTCCCTTGTATACAATCAACTTTATTTAATATTAATGAAAGGTGTTTGTAAACTGCTTGATAGGATTTCTCTATTGATTGTTGGCTAGTTTGGGTGACCTTTTGTCGACATAATGAAATAGGAATCGTTTTGATGTTGCTTTCCAAGTCAAGGGGTCATTTATGACTAAGTTGTATCGGCATTTCCTGTTATTTTGCTACGAATGGAATGTTGAATTCCGAAATATTTTGGTGTTCCCTCTCAATCTACGTAAGTTGTTATAATTCGGTCTAAACTTTTTTTCAAGAACTGACTTTTTGGTTACGATAGAAGTTAAATCTGGTTTGGTTGCATTTGCGAATTTACTGAAGGAGGAGAAGGGGAGAGCGTTAAGATAAGGGGGTCTAACAAGGGGCTTTCTTTGTTGGTATAATATAATTATAAAAATTATTATAGTAAAATTATTTAGTTGTTGGTAAAATACAAAGATTTAAAATTAATAGTAATGAGTAAAAATCATAAAAATTAAAACGTAAATAGAAAAATAATTGAAGTTAACCGTTTTTTTTTGTGCAATTCTTTTCTTGTTTATATCGTTCAGCTCCATTGGCTGGAATTTGATTTTTTGATTTTTGTATAGTCCATTGGGTCTCTTAAAAATCACGGTATTGAGAGGTTTTCTTTTTTGGTTATTTTCAATTTGCATTTTTCCTTTTATTTTCCTCTTTGCTGGTTTTTATACCCTTGCAGGGAGTATTATATTTTCGACTCCTGGTGATGCTAATCAAGAAAATATATGTATACTGTATAGGGTCGGATAGGTGTCCTTCACTGCGTTGCAAACTTTTGACTGCAAGGGTATAAAAATCGGGCAGCTATATCATACAGCTGCAATAGGAACTTTTGAAAAATTTCTCGGTTTAGTGTTTTTAAGCTTCGAAATCGATATATAGAATATTTAAATTTTTGTAAAAGCTGCAAGGGTATAAAATCTTCGGCTTGTGAAATTTGCTTTCTTTCTTGTTTTTTATTTATTTCAGGTAATTGAACGATTTTTAATCTTACCAGCAACAGAGTTTCCTCGATTGGATGGGTCATGATAGGAGTCGATTCCGCAAACCATTACATTTTTAAACGGTATTTTAACAGTCCACAAAGAGCCTCCAATTTTACAATTCATTTGTAACACAATTTTTTGTACAACAGACCGATTTTTTTGGTCATTTAATAAGGTCTTCGCATTTACAACCTGAAAATAAATTTAAAAACGTAGAAGTATACTTTAAATAATTACAAAGAATACAGAAAACTAATATGGGCAAGCCGAAATTTATATCCTAATTCAGCTACTGGCATAAGATATTTGCAGTTATACCACTTGTAAAACCTGGTAGCGCCTCATTGTTTTCATTTGTAATACAATTATTGTGAAATACAGTAATTTTAACAAATTAACCTTTAAGTCATTACCAAACTTTCCTGTTAACAATTACCTGTTTGCAACTACTTCTTTAGAGAAGAAAAGAGACTATCCTCTTCGGCTAAACCTACACTTTCTATCGATTGACAAATGAACGCTCTATATTCGCGGTAGCCATTTCTCGCAGGTTCTTCCAAAATGTTCTTTGTTTAAAATTAAAAAGATTTTTTAAATACACCTTTAAGGTTAAAAACATTTTTAGTGGAACACAAGAGTATGTAAGGAACTCTCTAGGGCTGGGGTAGACTCAGTCTGCCCCGGATCCTCCACAGATAAATTTGTAGATAGCAGAAGGACAAGGTGGTGTCACTGGCCTGTGCCGGCCGGGAAGGGTTGCTGCGCGGACGGAAAACAGGGGTGCTTATTCGGAGATATAACCAGCCAAATAAGTCCTCTGGCTTTCCGGTGGTTCTGTGTGGTTCGAGTGTCGGCGGCGAAAGAAAACCTACAGCCTGGGTGCACTTACTCTCGTGCCGTCTAGAGTCAGGGCCGCGCGCTTCCGGCGGGAAACTTACACTTATTTGACCAGACAAATAAGTGGTCAGATTCCGGCGCTGGTTCCGACGGAAAACAGGGCACTTATTCGGAGATATAACCAGTCAAATAAGTACACTGCCTTCCGCTGGCTCCGTGTGGCTCGAGTGGCAATCCCCGAAAAGTTCACAAATTAATAGGCGACTTGGGCGGGTTGTTTTCTGATTTCACTTTTATTTTTGTCTTTGGTCTCTACCCGCACTGTAGGTTTTACTTTTCTCGTTGGTTAACTTACGTCGCTAGTCCCGGATCTTGGTCCGGGGCCGGTGTCCTGGCGGTGATCTCGCTGGGTGCGGGAGTTGAGCAACCGATGCGTTCGGGCGTGGAAAACGAAAGAACCACGTTCCGCCGGATCCACGTGCCTCGTCCAAGATCGGAGGTGATGCCACTTATCGTAAAAATATTCATACCAATATTTTTAGAAGTATTGTAAGGAAGTTCTTGGGCTGGGATATTGTGCTCAGGGCTCCCAGGGTCACTTACAATAATTTATTTCAGTTCAAGGACTCAAGGGAGGGGCGAGATAAAAATGACCCTATTCAGACTCCGTGGCCGGAACTCACAGCGGGTTTGGATCCGACAATCGAGCAGAGCTCCGTCGTAATCTCTACCCGCCACGCGCATCGGAACCCGCAATGATCCTTGGATCCGACAAACGAGGCTAGCTCAGTCGTAATCCTTGGCCACCACGCGGTCCGGCCACGATCGACAGAAACAGCAACAAAAAGAAAAAGGAAGGGGGTTTTGTGGGCACTGTCACCCAGAGATGCCGACCATGGGCCGAAGCCTGCAGCGGATTTAGATCTGACAATCGAGTACAAGACTCCGTCGAAATCTCTCTCAGCCGCACGCTCCGGAACCCGCACTGACCCTGGACCCGACAAACGAGCCTAGCTCCGTCGTAATCCACGGCCACTACGCGCTCCGGGACCGGCAATAGCTTCGGATCCGACAAGCGAGTGCAAGACTCCGTCGTAATCCTTGGCCACCACGCGGTCCGACCACGATCGGCAGAGAAGGGGGGTTTTTCCTAGATGGAGACAAGAGAAAATAGTTCCCATTCCCCTCCTACGTTCACTCACACACAAAACACGGTCAGGCGAATAGCTTTTGGGTTTTCAAATACTTTGTTTTCTTTATTTAAGTTTTGTTCGAGGGGTGTACAAAGCCTCCTTGTCACGCCACTCCAGTCTGATCGTTTTCAAAAAAATATATCGAGAAAATATATAGTGGACGCTTACGTTTCCGTCCACAGCAAATCCAGCCAGTTGATTCCCCATGCCTCCGCAGCGGGAACAGGATCGTACACTCCATCAACTTCGCCACTGTCGGTTGACATCGTATCACACGTTTTTCACGCACTTGTCTAATTTTCACGGCGGGGCGGGTTTCCCGGATTTTTGTCTCACGATTTGAATCTGGCATGCGCGAAGCCTCAAGAGTAATTGCGTTTTCCCCTCTTTGATATCGGCGCACGCACCCCATGCATTGCGTCGGCGTCGCTGCCGCTGCGCCGGCGCTTCGGCAAAATTATTTCCCCTTGCTCGAAAACATCGGTCGGGTTGGTTGCAATTTGGTTCGATCGTGCGAAACTATTTTCCCCTTGCTCGAAAACATCGGTCGGGTTGGTTGCAATTTGGTTCGATCGTTCGAAATTATTTTCCCCTTGTCGAGAGCGTGTTGGTTGCGCTCAGGCGTTCGATGGTTCAAGTGTGTGTGGCTGCTGATGTTCGAAGTGTGTGTAGGAGAGAGCGAGAGCGTGTTGGTTGCGCTCAGGCGTTCGATGGTTCAAATGTGTTGCGTGCGTTGGCTATTAAAAAGCTAAACTAATGATAATATTACATGGCTACAAAAATATTCCACATGGCTACAAAATAAATTGTGAGGGCCGTTTTACGGTTCCTCCTTGTCGTAGCAAGGGTCCCGCGGCATATTTTAGTTTGGCCTTCCTTGATCACCCGTCAGTGGCGCACAGGTGTCTCGGATTCGTGGACCCCTTCGGCGTCCTCTTCTGGGTCCTCGGCGGTCTGGTCCCCATGAAAGGGTTTCAAATCGGCTAGATTTGCGTTGCGACGCTTGCGTGTCCCTCGAAGTTGGACTCTGGCGATGTTTGGTGACAGAAATTTTATGATCTTATAAGGACCTTCGAACTTTGGAGCTAGTTTTGCATTGAACGCCTCCGCGGCGTTGGACAGGTGGTGAGTTCGGCCCAAACCCACATCCCAATGGTCGGTCTCCATTCCCATCGGCGCAAGTTGTAATAGCGACTTTGTTCCTGGGCTGCTCTCTCCATGTTTTCCTTGGCTGTTTTGAAAAAAGTTCTTGAGAAGCTCTGCCTTACTCGGTGGGGTCTCTGGGCGCTTCGCTGGCCCCTGTTGTAACTTCGTTGAACCAGCTTCCGGGTAATCGGGGCTCACGACCCTGTACTACGTTCGCTGGTCTGAATCCGGTGCTGTCGGAGACACACGTGTTGATGGCCAGGGTGATTTTCGGCAACAGGTGATCCGATGTTCGTTGGTCCTCTGTGGCGTACTGCGCGATCATCGTTTTGATAGTGCGGTTGGCTCGCTCTGTAGGGCTCTGTTGGGGGGAGTATGACGCAGTATGTTGCACTTCTATTCCTGCTTTCTTGCAGAATGCTTTGAAGGCCCTACTGGGTCCCAACGTCGCAGATAAAAGTTTTTGGGGCGCCGAACCTAGCCAGTATTCGCTCCCGGAAGGCTAGTTCCAGACTGGTGGCGGTAGCTCGGCGTAGGGGTATTAATTCCACCCATTTGGTGAAATGATCCAAAAACACCAGTAACATCGTGTGTCCTTTGCGGGACCTGGGAAGAGGCCCTACGAAATCCGCGCACAGGGTTGAGAATGGTCCCTCTGATTTCCTGGCTAGCATCTTCCCCGCTTGTTTGCGTTGACTCACCTTAAATTGCTGACAGGCTGGGCATTGCCGGACGTAACGAGCGATGTCTCGAAATGGGTACGCAAAGTCTCCATGCTCCATGGTCTTCCTTCCTAAACGCGTTGTCGAGGTGTCGGTAGAGTTGCCCGTTCTCTTGGATGTAGTCGGGAAATTTCTCCGGATTGGCTTCGATTTGCTTGATCTTTGCGGTGATCCACTTGCACGGTTCGTTGGTCTCATTCACCTGCTGGAGCGTTGCTAGCGGTTGCCTGGACAGAGCGTCCGCGACGAAGTTCTGTTTTCCCCGTCGGTATGAGATGTCAAACTGGAATTGTTGGAGTTCGAGGGCCCATCGTGCGATTCGGCCTGTCGGGTTATCGATTGAGTTCAACCACTTCAGGGCGAGGTGGTCTGTTATAACGTCAAATCGGTATCCTTCGAGGTAGCACCTCATCTTCCTGATTGCCCACACTATTGGAAGGCACTCCTTTTCCGTAGCAGAGTAGTTTTCCTCTGCTGCAAGCAACCTCCTGCTGGCATAGGCGATAACTCGTTCGGTTCCATCGACTTGCTGGGTTAAGACGGCTCTAAGGCCGAAGTCGCTTGCGTCGGTTTGTAGTTGAAATTTGAGGTTGAAGTCCGGGCAGGCCAGTACTGGTTCCCCGGTGAGCTTCCTTTTCAACTCCTCGAATGCCAGTTGCTGAGGGTCGCTCCAGGTCCATTTCCTTGGACGATTGTGGCGAAGTTCTTCACAAATCGCCGGTACCAGGATGCTATCCCCAGACATCGACGAAGTTCCTTGCAGTTAGTGGGTGGCTGGAGTTCTCTAACAGCGGCTATCTTGTCTGGGTCGGTGTGTATTCCGTCTTCGCTGATGACGTGCCCTAGGTAAGTTATGCTTCGCTGGAAAAACTTAAACTTCGCTTTATTCAGCTTTAAGTTGGCCTGCCTAAGCCGTCGGAGTACTTCCCGTAGGTTGGTGAAGTGTTCGTCCAACGAGGTCCCGATGACGATGATGTCACCTAGATAGGCGAATGCGTGAGGCTCCATGTCGGGTTCTATCACGCTGTCCAGTGCCCGCTGAAATGTAGCAGGAGCCGAGTGCAAGCCGAATGGCATTACTTTCCACTGGAAGAGCCCGCGGCCCGGCACGGTAAATGCGGTACAGGCGCGGCTGTCTGGGGACACCGGGATCTGCCAGTAACCGCTTTTTAGATCCAGCGTCGAGATAAACTTAGCGTTGCGAAGTAGTTCCAAGATGTGTCCTATCCGCGGTAATGGGTAGGCGTCGGGCACCGAGTGAGCGTTGAGCTGACGGTAGTCCACGCACATGCGC